CTTGATCTGGTAGTGGAGGGATAGATGCAAAACTGATGAGAGTTTGGTTTATCCTTAGCCTTTATTGTCAGATACCCACAAGGAAATAAAGCTTTGATCTGCTTCCTTAGAAAGCTAATCCTGGTGATTATGTGAAGATACTTGCAGTGGTAGCTATAGGGATATACATCTTTAATCTCTTGGTGTTGAATACTTAATCCAGTAAAAATTCTTGGCAAGAAGATTTAAGAAAGAACAAAATAATTAAACTGTTCACAGGCATTTTTTTTCAGGAATGCAGATTTCGTAGCTTACTAGCGCAGGAGTTTTTGTTTGCTTGTTTTTTGTAGAGGGGACACTTAAATAACAAAATTGTATCATTCTACGGCAATGTTTGTGAAACACACTATTTTAACTGTTGCAAACTATTAAACACTCAAAGGTCCAGCTTCCACATTGAAGAAATGAGACTTTGGTATGTGCAGATATGATTAAGGTGGCTATAGCAGTACAGAGTTTTCAGTTTGCTTTAGTCAGCTTTAGCCACCAGTTTTCCTTTTTGATGCAAAAGGAGTATGATGGGTTATAAAAGCAGTATGTAAGTGACTGCAGATTTTTCCAAGTAATCAAAACAACGTCTAAATGCTGATCGCTGACAGCGTATCTGCATGCTTGCATACACAGCTCTTCAGTCAGTATCTGGGGAGGTAAAAAAAATACCATGCATATCTTAGGAAAGAAAATCATCCTGATTAGCTATCTTTGATTTTTCTTCAGACAGTCTGGTCTTAGTTGTGCACCAACTATGGCCATATTTCGTGCTTTGATACTCATGGAATTGAAATTCCCCTCTGTGTGTGTGTGTGTGTGTGTGCATGCACACACAGGCACTCAAGGTCCTGGGGTAAACAGTTATAACATATAGATGTCACCAGATTCTCCCTGGTGTAAGATAGGCTTTAGATATCTATTACCAGCATGGCTTTTCTTCACAGTAACACTTTGAAATAAGAATAAATAAAATGATTGAACTTTTTAATATAATGAACCTTCCTTTATTACAAGATGATCACACTTAGTTTGAACTTAGTTGTTGTTATCCCTTGTTGTTGTGTTTAAAGAGCACAAGGTATAATTAATTGGTGGAACTCATTGTCACAGGTTATGATTTATGAATTGTGTATGAACATGGGTTCAAGAAGGGGTTGGACAAACATTCAGGGTGGGTTTCCAAGCTTCCTGGGAAGGATGATCCAGATACTGCCCATGACTCAGGTATTCTCAAAACCATCGGCTGCCAGATGCTGACAGGAAGGGATCGCACTATAGGCAGAGGAGGAGGAATGAGTCTCGTCCCATGCGTTTTTGCTGTCTGCTATTGGAGACAATACAAACATCTAGGCTGATGTTACATGTTTAGTTCAAACTAGCAATATAAACTTTTCCTTGGGAGGGAGAAACTCATGGAAGAGAAAGAGAAGAAACTCCTGAAGCTATTTTACTGTTTTCAGTCTAATATATACAAATATGAGATGAAATGCCTCCTGGAGATGTACATTCCTCTACTATTAAAGAGGACTGAATAACTTATACTAAGTCCCTAACTTGCTCTGTATGATTTTCCATAGTTTGTCTATGGAAATTAAAACTCAGATTTGATGGAGCAAAACCATAGCAAGTTCCTTACAGTAATTGGATGTTTATATAATAAAAAATATGCATGAAGAGTCTTTTAGAGGGTCAATGAATGATTAAGGTGCAGGACAGCCTCTCATAATGACAATGGGGAGGACTGTATACAAAGAAACCTGTTGCAAGTAAATTAACCTCTAGATGCTGTTACAGATTTTCCTGCCTGTTCCAGTGAAATACTTGGCAGTTTTGGCTATCACATTCCTGGCTGCTTGCTCCTGAGGCTGGGTTCTGCTTCAGTCTCTCCCGTGTTATTTGACACTGACGTGAAACGGAGGTCTATAGGGAGAGTTTAGCTCCTCCTGCCTTCTACCTTCAGAAAGTAAATTCTTAGGAGCTTTGCAGAGAGAAATTGAGAAAAGATAAAATAATAGGTTTTAATTTGAAACTATGTTTTCCCTCACTGAAGTCCAAGCAATACATTCACTCATTTGTTTAGGTTTGTTTACCTTTCAAAAATTGAATTCAATCATCAACCATAACTTCATACGGAAATTAAGGTTCTAAACACAATACATTCTCTTCCTCAAAGTATAGACTGCTGTGGCTTGCATATTGCACTTCAGGGTCATACCTGGAATCCATAGCCTGACATCAATATTTTCAAAAGCTCATATATAACATTTTAAGCTTTATTTTCTTCCTGTGACTATAATTCCCCATGTGATGTTTGTGTGTCATTTAAGATCTAATCTTTTGACTTTGAGATGATAGGGTGACATCTTGTGCTATCCTTTTGGTTTCATTTTCTTCAGTACACTGTTCACATAGGTTCACTTTTGAGTCTTCACCCATTCTTGGTCACAAACCTCCCAGACAGAAAAGATTATATATCTTCTCCAGACTGAAAAGAAACAAAAGTGAGAGACTGTGAATGTTACATGAGTTCAAATGTTGGGAGATGCTCAGATAGAACTGTTATATTTAGGCCATGGGGGTACATAAAGAACACTTTAGTACCAGGGTAAAGGAGGGGAATTTTTTTATTTCTGTCTTTGTGTGTTAAGCAGCTGTCTTTTTGAAAAACATTAGGATGTAAATCCTGTGGTAAATTCAGAACCAATGTTATTAAGCTATTAAATAACCTTATTTTTTTAATTGATGATGTTCTTTCGTTGAAATGTCAAGAACATCAGAAGAATGAGGTAACAATGAAATCAAAATCAAGAAATTGATAATGTTTCCAAAATACTTTCCTATAAAAGTCAGTGGGAAGGATGGTGAACACTTTTATACACCAGTCCTGCACCATTAATTCCAGTGGAAGTTACTCCATTTGAACTGGAACGGGATCTAACTCCTGCTTAGTGAAGAAAGTGTTTACTAATTTTCTTTGAGAATAAAAATATTCTTTGAGAATGTACTCAAAACTCAACTTGAGAATTTGGATGTGAGACTCTGCTAAGTGGTTTGCATTGTAAGGAGTACAGCAATTGGTTTCTAGATAACATAGGGGATATTCTCCATTGCCTTTCAATACTCAATTTAAGAAGTCGCACAGCATCATTGAGAAGGGAGATGCTTGTTAAGAATACAGCTAGCAAAAAGCAATCATTATTTTCTGTGATTTTCCCCCTTTTAAAGGAATAATAAAAAAAGTTATTTCTGGAAGTTTTAAGGAAAGCACTGTGTAGATACAGAAGTATGGGCCAGTCACTACCACTGCACTAAATCTGCATGCTAATTTGCATCAGATTCCCCTCCACAACCAGGCTTCAGACCAGGCTAAGGTTTGCCAGGATTCTCTTCTCATGCACACATTTAATTTTCCTTTTCTGGAAAACCAGAAAGAAAAGATAGTGCGCATACAGGTCTCTCCCTGACACAGGTCATGTACGTCTGACTGCTTTACAAGGGGCTGGAGGAGAACTGGAGACTAAATATCCCAAGCAGAGGGTACTCCAGGCAGTCTCTGGTGGGAGCTCACCTGCACTTGCCTCATGTAGGTTTGGCTGATGAAGAACTGAGAGGGTATCCTATATGCCTGTCACTCATGCTGGCCTCTGCCAGGTGGAAAAGACCTGGTAGCTGCTGCAAAGTCGGCAAGCAGCTAATTGATGATAGGTGGCATGAAAACCACTTTACAGATTGCTTAAAAAGGCTTTTGGTTCTTTGGTTGCTACTACTGGTGCAAGATGAGCATAACTGAATGCAACAGTGTCACTGAGGTTGTTTGGTTTTCCTATGCCTTTGATTAATTTGATCTCCCCTGTTAGTAAAGTAAGGCACACAACTTAGAAATGTAAACATGCAACAAAGCTATCGCTATTATTTAGAGCAAACAAGTGACTGGCTGAAACCTGTGACCCTGGCACAGTACTTCAGTCTACAACTGGACAGACACTTTAATTCAGCTTGCACTAATACTGCTGTGTGTAGAAGCAGTTTCACCTCCATGAAGTTCTGAGCCCTTCTCTGCGCCTTTCTATCTTTTGTTCTAGCACAAACATTTCTGCAGCTTCACAAGGAATGAAATCAGGAAACGGTATGGTAGAAATTTACTCTTTTATTCATTGCCAGCCACAGCAGTTTCCCTGATTCTCACCGCACAGATTTATGCTGGCCAGGTGGTTCTGGGAGAGGGAGCAACGCCTTTCAGTGTCAGTGGCAGTTTATATTAATTTAAGGCATTTCTTAAGCTGCAGCTGAAAGGTGCAGTTCTGTGACTGACTTATAATTTACATTGACATCAGTCAAGTTTGTGACAAAGTTTGCCATAGTACCTTTGCGGCCAAATTAGGGAAATAGGACCTATGGGTGATTACAGGGTGAATGAAATCTGACTGGTTTTGGGGCTCAAGCGGTAGCTGACAATAGTTCAAAGTCAAAGCAGCAGCTGGTTACTGCTGCAGGACCTCTTGAGGTCCTTCACAACTTCCATGATTCCCTGATCTAACCCCTGGAAATGTTACCTTTTAAAAATAAGCCCCACCTCTTCCTGTATGTGCACACTAGGAGCTGTTAGTCTCAGTTTTCAGATGAGAGTTCTTTTAATAGTTATTTTCCAAGTAACAATTTGGATAGAAGAAGGAGAAGGGTCAGCGGAGATAACATGGGGGATAAGACTGCCCGTCATGTCACCAGCATGGATTTAAGTCTGGCACACTGACTTAGCCTACAGGCAACAAACCGGGTCTGTTACAGAGCGCCTAGGGAAGTGAAGGCCAGACTAAGGTGATGAGAGTCTACCATGCTGAGCTGAGTTCATGGGATGAATGGACACCTCTCTGAAATCCTGGCTGGCAACATCTAAGAGCTTTTTAGATCAAAGACAACAGTTTGTAGAGCATGTGGAAGTGAGAAAGTTGGTGTAGCTGTCAAATAACGGATGTCCCTTTTGTTCCTTCTGCCCTTTTGGTAGCAACCTGCAAGAAGCAATTCAGGAGTTTACTTGGATTGCTATTTCTCAAATTCCATCCAATAAAGTCAAGCAAATGGGTCTCTGTAAGCAGATGACTAAACCAAAACACATTTTCTAAAGATAGTTTAGACTTGAAGTGTCACCAGGGAATAAAGAGATTTCTCTCCATGCTCCCAACTGGAGACAGGCGGGGAAAAAAAAATTGTCATCAAAGACCTATCATTCAATGAACCAGGAAAAGATCTGACTTCATCTCTGACAAGTAGGGCATTGCAAACAAAATTGTTCCTTGCTGATGACTGCAGTGAGGACTGGCAGACACTGAGCTGTAAATACCAGGAGTTCATAATATTTCCTGTGGGATGAAACACGGACTGCTTAACAAAATTAGCAGGACTGTTCCAAAACCCCTTCCCAGAGCTCAAGATCTGACCACACCCTGAATGCTGGGACCACACATGAACATGCAGATCTGCTGTCTCAAAGCAACAAGACAAAATTACAGTGGAATCACCACCCAACTAATAAATCTTACTGTCGGTAAGGTTTCCTTGTTGTTGAGTTTTGTTTTGTTTGTTTGTTTTACTCCTAGCATGCTGTCTTGGGTAACTGCATTAAGCTGACAATCTTATTTTTGTCTTTAAGAGGTATTTTTGTTCTTCCATGTGTGTGAATACTGGGCATGTGAGAAGGCTGGGGGAAGGAATGAAGGATATTGTTCTTGTCACACTGTTCATTTATCATCTATGACTTGAACATATTTGCTCCCTGTATGCTGTGTGTATATCCACTGGCTTGAAAACTCTCAGAGTGAAAGTCTATTTATGGGATGTGGACAAGAAAATAGAAACATTGTCAGGGTCTTTGGCATGGATTATTATCTCTGATGAACCGCACTCAGTATTTTAGATTTTGGCATGGGAGAGTTTGTCCATTCAGTAAATTTACCATAAGTGCAGCTGCATCTGGTGTATATTGAGTAAACCAGTTTTAATAATAGAAATCTACATGGAACTGGAGTAAGCTGTACTGGTGCAAATCACAGCTCCAAGCAGCTTTGTCTGGCTTTGCTAGAGGCTGGCAGCGGTACAGCTGTTCTGGTGGAGAGCAAGCAAAGGCTGAAATCACAGGAAATCCACAATGCGGTTACAGTCCTTGCCTGAGACACTGCAGATGACAAGCATTCTGCAAAGGCTGGTCCAGTAGACAGAGAAGACAGCTATGCAGCAGTAATGTATGATGTGGTTTTCCTCGGTTTATTTTTCGTGCAGACTTTTCATAAGACAGAAAAGAACCTTCAAATTAACACATTTTCGTAAGGTGTGTTTGTTTTAAGAGAACCTTTCTTGAGAGAATTCACCACCCTCCCTCCTTAAAAAAAAATCACTTGAGAAGAAAGGGAAACATCTCTGTGTGCCTCAGAGTAAACATGCCCTGCTGGGCTCCTGGCAGGCACTGAGCCCACCCCTTCAGAAAGAAATCAGATCCTGAAGCAAACTAGGTAAAGGAGAAAAAAAAAGAAGCTGTTAAAACATTTTATCTCTTCCCCCAACCTAGCGCTACAGATGCGATCATTTCAGTTGTTTGGCTTGTGTGCTGCAAGCCTTAGACCCTCTGCAAGGGGACGTTAAATAGGATACCACAGAACATTCCCATCTTGTTCTTCCTCACCACCATCTTCTTCATCACTGCCTTCCTCTCCGCATTCTTGGAAGACAGTCAGAAGATTTATTGCATAATTTCTGTGGCGGCTGTTAGCCGAGTGTGCAGTTACAGCTTGGTCTAATTAAGAAATCAGAGTGATTCTTTTATGTAGGTCACATCAGTTTTTGATTCTGAATCTCATAAAGTTCTAACCTCTCTGAGAAGTCAGCAATGTATGTATGGCTTAAAAAAAATTACTTTCTTAAATGCCTCTGAGTGTTGTTTATGCCTGCAAATGCCATTGTCCCTTTCTAGATAAATTGTCAGAGAGATCTTTGTTTGGATGTGGCATTTAGTGAAATCTATCCTTTTTGCAGCAGAATAAGTGTTTTCAAATAGGGTTCATAAATACAGTCTGAGCTCCTGATTGTTTGAAGTACAGCCATGCTGGAAAAGGAACAATGGATGATTTGAGTTTCCTTTCTTTATCTCTCACTGCTATTCATATCAATTGGAAATGCATAAAAAACAAATATTCACAGCCTGTTGGAGAACAGGGATATGCTGGCTCAGAGATGTGGAATATTTTTTTTAATTAGCTAAATCAGTGACTTCATGAAAAGGAGGAGCCTGATGTCTATAATGCTCTTACATTTATTTCTTTTTCTTGGTAAGCAGACAGCATGGATGTCCGTGGATGTTGGCTACTGCTCTCAGAACACTACATCTATATGATCATAACAATAACGGCCTCACTCCCTCATTACATTAGACTGTCAGCTTCCAGTTTGACTCCAGGTCCAGTCACCCTTCCTCTCCTGACTCCTGAAGGAATTGTCATCCCCACATGTGATATTTGAAATCTATTTGTATTATTTTTAGAAAGCTTCCTGATCTTTCTCTGGCTCAGTATCAGCAGAGTTAATGCAAGATTTGAGTAATACTCCCTGAGTACAGTTTTAGATATTAAGTGAAAAGACCAGTCATTCCTAAGGAGTATAGCATTTCAGCCCTGATCCTCAAGCTTCTTCTTGTCCTTGAAGACACAAGTTATTTCAACGATTTTGTAACCCATTGAGAAGGTTACATCGTCTTCAACAACATTTTTGTTGCTCAAGTAAAACGAGCAATGTATAATCAGCAAAGGGCAACATCTTCATTTCTCAAGGACAGGAGATCTGTCTACCAAAGCATTATGCTAAATTATGCAGGAACTGTATCTTTCTCAGGATTGGCCCAAAGCTCTGAAATTAACTCCTGCAGGCATCTTACAGGTAATGCAGGCTGCATTACCTTCTGTTTTGCTTAGCCTAAATCTTTCGAGTCCCCTAAGTTATAAAGGCATATCAGCAGTAAACGCTTTATAGTAAAACAAAACAATAAAAATCCCAAATAACCCTGGACACAAACATACAAAAACCTTACTGAGACAAAAACTTTGCTGAGTTCTGCTTTTCTTCTTTGAGACTGATGAAAGGACAAAGAATGTGGGAAAAATGTCAGTCACACGTATTACTTACATGAAAAAATAAAACAGTCCAGAGCCTGTTGTCTGTGCCCAAGTGTGAGTGCTGTGACTGGAATGTCAGTTAAGCGTGTCCCCTCTTCCCTTGTAGCTCCCACTGCCTGACATGTGATCCCCTGAACCATGCCTGGAAGTGGCTGGTATAGTGCTCAGAGGTTAAATATGTGCAAGGGAGAACACCAACCCTTACATGGTATGAGTAGTCACAGGCCAGTACCCTAGGTTTACATAATTTTCTTGCGTAGATGTAACCACGGTGTAGAATAAGAGCCAATGTAGTCTGTTAGAAAATAAGATGCAACAGAATGAAGAAAGAGGAGGACAGGCTAAGATGAAAAGCGAAGAGCAAGTTCAGCAAAGTTTACAGCATATTACTGAGGCAGGAATTCATATCTAGGTGTTTAATATCACACTTCAGGCTATATGGCACTATCTGTATCATCTGGAGGTAGGATGCCAACATAATGAAGCACTGTTTATTAAACCTTTTTGAAGGAGAGTTGGAAGGAATCTGCCCATGGAAATGGTCCAAAAAAGAGTTACAGGCTGCATGGAGGGTCTTACTTTTCTCCCTAGCTCCATAAAGAATTGTGCTTTTCTTCATTCTGGATGCTGATTTTCTGCTTCTCATGTCCCAAGCAGCCTTCCTGAATTTGCCTCCTTTCCTATGCTGGAACTGGCAGCAATTGCCTGTGAGACTAGGACTGTAGCAAGAAAAGTTTCTTATTTGAAAAGGCTGGTCTCTCAAAACTGGATTAACACATTGTGCGGAGCTGGCCAGACATAGAATTTGCAATGATGCCTGGCATTATTTCTCAGGGTCAACCAGAACTGAATGATAGAGAACCAGTATTGTAAAGCCAAAAGTGGCAACAGAATATTAAATATTTATAAAGCAGCATTACCTCCTGACCTGCTGCAAAAATCATGTCCTAATATAGTTTTTAGAGGGTTCTGGATAGCCCATCAGTAGGGAGCAACAACCCTCTCGTATAACTGAAGCTCCACCACCTCCTTCTTTGAAGTGCTCCTTCATGCTGGTAGCCAAATTCCACTTCCAAAAATTGCATGGGCCAACTTTTCCCTATCAATACATTTCTTCCTTCTTCTGTAATATTTCCAAGCCTGTAGCATTTCTGCTAAACACAGATAGGAATTTACTGGGAAAGATAAGGAGGCCCCAGTGTTTTTTATCGCCAAACCTACAGCACAGGTATAGATGCCTTCTAGTCACATGGCAGTGTTGCTGTAAAGGAGCTGTGCAGTTCCTCCTCTCCCACATGAAGGTCTGGTTTGTCCGTGTTCCTCAGGTTGCAGCTGCATTTTGCAGAGGCAGCCACAAAGCTTTTCATCTATCGCAAGCAACTGTTTACTTCCTCAGTTTCCTTAACTGAAGTTTTATGTGAGCTGAGACTGTGATTTCATTATTTTGTAGTGTAATGTGAAAATCTCTGCTTACAGGTGACAACAATAAAATAACCCTCATGGTTTCTTCGGGAGTCAGTAAAACTAAAGAACAGTTTTGACTGGAACATATATTTTATATTATTTGCTTAATGTCTGGTTGTTAAGGCAGTTGGTTAATAATTTTATTTCAGAATGTTTCCCTTCCCCCACATTTTTGCTAGAGTAATCTGTATTTTCCAGCAGCAATAGTGAAGCTTTGCCCTGGAGCAATCCCATAAACGCTTGCAGGAAGCATAATTTTTACAGTCATGAGGCAAAACCTGAGTAGCTTCACACAGCAATAGCAAGGGGCTGCAGACAGGCTGTCTGGTGGATTGTGCACTAGGCTGGGATCCAGGAATGCTTGAATCCTAGCGCTGGCTTTTCCACCAGCTTGCTGTGTGGTCTTGGGCCTAGGCAAGCTGCAGCCTCTGTCTCACAAGTTGCCCATATATAAAGGGAGGATAATAATATTTGCCTGCTTCACGGGAGTCAACACTCCTGAGTTAATGTTTTTGCAAGACTCTGAAAAGCTAAAGAGCTGCCAAAGTGTTAAATCTTTCTACCAAGCAAGGAGTTTGTCTTTACATTTCGAACACAACTTGCTTTAGTGAGCAAAAACATTTCAACCACCTGCAAAGTTTTACAGACACTGCTGAATATCCAATGAAGTTTTTAATTCATATGAGTTAAATTAAACAGGATCCTTTAAAAGAGGAACAAAGGAGTGGTTTAGCATTTTCTATGCACTTTAGTTGACTTTTCCCCCTGCCCCATGCTCTGTGCTTTATGCTGTACACTAGCCAACTCCTAGATTCCTAGATCCACTACTCATTTTAGACAAGTGCAATCAGTTGAACTCGTATGGTCTTTCTTCTTGTTTGCACATATGACATTCATGCAGTTTCTTTAGTAAAGCTAAACT